TTTATGCCTTAATTTTGTTTCCTGCCATCTATATATTTTGCACCGGCCATGTTACTGGCTGTTTTCTATATATTTTGCTCTCCATTGGTTGAGCATTAACGAAATTGATGATAAAGTGAACAGTTTATATAATATTTGGCCAATATTATATGTTTTCACCAATTGTGGGTTGCGAGCAATCTTAGCAAATCTATCCATTTTGTGTGAGTTTACAACCATGTGTTGTGTGTCAACCATCAATAGCATGGTTCATTATTATTCTGCCGATGTTGCTTATACAAAATGGAACGTAAAAGAGTTGTACATAAAATGGAACGGATGGTTGCTGCTTCTGCCAACAACGTAGATGAAGCCTCAATAAAGTATAGGGACAGATGTATTAGTGGTCTACATCTTTTCAGGAATATTGTTCATTGTAAAATTCACAATATTGTACAAAATATGTAACTAACAAAGTATTATTGGTTGCAAGATAGAATTCATGGCTCAAAATGCACAAACGTATGGCTTGGGATTCGCACAGGGTCATCGAGCCGTACTAAGTGCATGGAATGAGCTGCCCTCCTCAGAGAATAAGAGGTATGCTGAAGTTGCTAGGAGAAGGCGGGCAGCCTTCAAGGATAAATATCAATCTAAGAGTGATGCAAAGTCTCATGATGTAAGTGCTAAGTTACGAGCATATGTATGTTAAACTATAATAACGATTATGTTAATGGTAAATTTTCTAGCAAACGCTTGCAATCTTACTACTATAAACATGTCAAATTATATATAAAAATGCCAAATTAAAAGCACTAAATTCTTACTTTTGGTATTATCATGAAAATAGGCTGCTATCTTGTCAAGGTGTTCTCTAGCAAAATTTCAGAAGTTAGTTTCCCAACTAACTAAAGAGCAGAGGCAACATGTTCGAGAAATGGGTTTTGGGGGTTTGTTGGAGATCGACTGTAAACTGTTGGCCCTTGACATCTGTGTGGAACTGGTCAACAATTTTGATTGTTATGGAAGAACAGTGGTTGTCCAGGGCAATAGAGCTAAGGTCACAACTACAGACATTGGTACAGTACTTGGCATACCTTCGTCTAGCACGTCGGTAGCTCTTAGTGACAAAAAGGGGTAGCAAAGTGTCTGCGAAGGTGCAGGCACTTAAGGGTATAAGCCTAAACACTTTGGAGGCAAATATTAGGTTAGGCACTGTAGATATAATGTTCAGAAGATCATTCATCTTGCACGCCCTGACCATGCTCCTCAGCCCAACCTCCAAGAATGCCCTTTGTACTAGATTCTTGGATGCTATAGCACACGTCAGCAATCCATCACAGTATAACTAGGGTCAACTAGTTTTGGATATGCTAGTGGTTGAGATCCAAGAGTTTAAGGTGGGTGGGGGATTCAAGAAATCACTTAGTGGTTGTACATTCTTCTTAATGGTAAGCTGTGTTTTGTTGTCACATTTTGGACTTGCTTATTGTTACTTAAAATTTACAACTGACAGTTTTATTATTTTGAATTTACTAGCTTTTTTACTTCTACAAATTCCCCAACCCATCAATCCAAGTCAGTAATGAGGTGCTTTTAACAAGGCAATGGAAAAACAAACAAATTTAAAGGTGCATTCAAATTGAGAGGGGAGGCAAAGGCAAAGAGGTACTTTAAAGTATCTATTAAGTTACAAGCACTCATATGTTACTTTCAAGCATTATATACATAATGTTACAAGTATCTGTATGTGAAGCATTCATGCGCGTTGTTATCAAAGTGTTTATGTAAAGGTCAATTCATTTAACATATTGACATACATTCTAGGGTGTTGTCCCCTAGAATGCATGAGGTAAACACTAAACACTAACTACCACATCACTAGGGCTTATTTTTTTATAGATTTAATTTTAACTTTGTTTCATCTCACAAGGAATATCTATAAAGATGTAATGTCAATTGTCTACAAGAAATTGAAACTTGTTGACATTGCATTGATGGCTGCAGTCGCAACACCCTCAAAGTCCCCCAATAGAGCACAGCAGGAAGAAGCTCAGGGGGAACACAATCAAACCCATGGGGCACCTGCTACTACATTCCTGGCATCTCAGGAAGAAATTGAGGAACCTGCTGCTGCATCTCAAGCATCTCAGTAAGAAGCTAAGGAGCTGAAGAAAATCAAAGGGGCACCTCAGGAAGAAAAATAACCTGAAGAAGTCCCTGTTGCTAAAGTAGACGAGGATGTTCCTCCCCGTTAAACAAGAACATATGCTAGGAAAAAGCCATCGGCAACCTTGTGTACAAACCAAAATAAATCGCCCTATTTTCATATTGCGCCCGCAAAACAATGTCTGATGAAGACAGGTACCTCAAAATTAATTTGCTAGTTCAAACTAATATATATATATATATATTTCTATGACAATATGATTCATATATATCCTGTTTATATAATAGGGTGCTTGTTAGTATGTTTGGAGTCCACTTGTCACAATCAGACTTGCACACTCTCTACAATAGACAGTGGGTATCCAATATGGTATGCATTACTTACTTTTGATAGCATTATTTAATATTCAGTTCCATTATTTAATGTTGAGCTGTCCAAATTAGGTTGTCATCTTTATTGCAACACTATGGAATCACCAACAATTACAAGAAAATGGTGTTGTAGCTCAACATTTTCTTAACCCGCTCTTTATGGTAAGAATTTTTATACTTTATTTGTAGTTAGTAGTTTCAATATAATCTGATGAGTGGATAACAAATTTTTTTCCCATGTAATATATTGTAATTGTACATTTCGAGAGAGACTCCGCAAACACCACTTTCATAAAGAGTGTCTTCGATCAAATTGTAACAGGATATGACATCTTCAGTTGCAATTGGGTAAGTTTAATTATGGATGTAATAATGTACGCTTACTTACAAACATATTACTATTTAGTTACTTTCATATCTCTGTACAGTTATTAAAATTTTATAATTATTCTAGGTTTTTGCTCATTGCCTTTACAAGAAGCATTGGAGCTGTTACGCGCAGTCCCCTGCAAGTAGAACACTATATGTGTTAAATTCCATGAAGATGAACGAAGTAAGCCCAAAGCAACAACTCGACCAGTTCACGGTATCATGTCATTGGCAACATATTCATAGATTTCACTACACTATCTTTTCCAACATCTGAATGATATGTATGTCTTTTTGCCCAGGCAACGAAATTTCACGAGCTCCTACAAGAATTTGGCCACAGATCCCTATAAGATAACCAAGTCAATCTAGAATATGTCAATCTCCCTTTGCAATCAAATGGGTTAGTATAGAATTAAATTAATTGGAACATATAATGTCTCGTCATATTTTTTATGTTTAATATGTGGATGCAGTTGTGATTATGGGGTGTATGTACTGAGATACATGCAGACTTGGGATAATGTACTCATGCCTAAGTATTCTCCCGTAAGTGATTGATCAAAACAACACTACTATGAACATTTGTACAAGATAGTGCATTCAATTTTAATCTGATACGTTTTTACAAGCCATGATACAAGAGTTCAGAAAATAATATATATGTGACTGGGTGACACACCCTAGAAACGAATACCAGGAGAAAGTACTCAAGGATGCTCGAGTCTGGGACAAATTAGGTTGAGTTGAGCTTCGCATTGCCTATCATGGGAAAATGAGGACTGTAACAGTTTCTAGTGGAAATGCAACATGAAGAATTTTTAATACCTTGCAATTTTTTTTGTAATTACTCATAGGACATAGATGCATGAAAACAATTACTGATTGCTAGTTAAACTTATACATACTTTATAGATCCAAGAAAACGATTGTACATATATTCTTTGTTGGTTATTGTACAGATCTAAATTTCACATATTCTTTTTCAAGCATATAATTGAATGCATTGAGAGAGTTATGCTTCAAACTGAATGGAGATGTGTGTGTAACAGAATGGATCTCTATTTGTAACTATACAGGTCTTTAGTTGTAACAGAATATCAGATTTTCACTTCCAATAAAATTGTTGAACAACCCTTGTATTTTACTTGTAAGTAAACGGGGCTATGGTTGTAACTGAATAGGTTTTTGCTTGTAACTATACAGATTTCTGCTATGGTTATAAAGGTTCCTGTTTGTAACTATACATGTCTCTGTATGTAACTGAATGAGTCTTTGCTTGTAACTATACAGGTCTCTACTTGCAACTGAGCGAGTAGATATGCTTGTAACTATAAAGTCTTTGCTTGCAACTCTATATATTCTTGCTTGTAACGAAATAAAGTTTTGCTTATAATCCAATGAGTTTGTGTTTGTAACTCAATAAAACTCTGCTCATAACTGAACTAGTCAACTACTTAATTACATAGATGAAGTTGAATAGATATATGCTCGTAACTACATTTTTCCCACTTAGTAAAAATTATTACTGACCGAATTGTAACCAAGGAAATGGGTCACAAATTAATGACCGCAATAAAAGGATCATTTCCTTTAAGTAGTGACCCCAATAGTAACCGCTTGAAGGGGGTCACTAATTAGTGACCCTTTTTTGTAACCGCCAAATTCGAGATTAGTAATTAGTGACCCATTTGTAACCGCTGTAATGGGGTCACTAATTAGTGACCGACTGTAAAGGCCCACCCCCAAATTTGTGACCCTTTTTGTGACCCACCAAGAGAGGGTCACTAATTAATGACTCATTTTGTAACCGTCTCATATTCAATCACTAATTACTAACTCTTTTGTAACTAATCCCATAGCGGTCGCTAATTTTGTGATCAATTTTTGACCGTAGTGTCTACAATCACAAATTTGATCACAAATTGGTTATTACTTTTTTCAAATAACTTAACCTTAGTCGGTCACTACTAGGTTACTAATCAGTCACTAATTAGTGACCCATTGCTATGGTCACTAATTTGCAGTCACTAATAGCGTTTCTTCTGGTAGTGACACCATAATTTTACTTATGCCTATTAGTTCCAGAAAGTTGAAAATGAGTGTTTTACATGGCAGGAACCCCTTTTACCTACCTAAAGCACCATGTTGATGATATTGATGAAGAGACATACAAGTGCTGCTACAATGTGATTGAAGGTGATGCCCTAACTGGTAAGCTAGAGATGATCTCTTACAAAATTCAGCTCATGGCCTCCCTCGATGGTGGTTCCATTGCCAAGACCACAAGCAAGTACTATCCCCTAGAAGGTGTTGTTTTAAGTGAAGATGAGATAAAGACAGAGCAGGAAAGGTCAAGGGCAACGTTTAAGGTCCTTCAAGACTAGCTCAACCAAAACCCTAATGCCTATGCCTAAATGTCTCTCGTCTCTATTGGACTAGCCTTCCTTTACCTCTCAAACAAATTTATGCTAGTGTGTTCCTTGCCCATTTCTTGCTAGAGATTCCTTGGTTGAAAATGAAATCTTATCCACCTGGCCAACAAGTTGGTTCATGCATCTTTTGAATGTCTCTCGATTTATAATTAAAAGAAATCAGAAAAGAGGTTTGGTTCATAACAATGGCCAGTCCAAGTGTGAGTTTGTTTGTTATAGAAGGGGGAATTTGATTGCAGCTCTTGCATAGATAAAACCATAACCAAAACCTTGCAAGTTAAGGTCAAACCCGTGTTCCTCACTTCTCCTTCAAGATGGAGTTGAATGTTAATGTTTATCCTTGAGAAGATAGAGAAGCCTAATTTTGTTGAAACTTTTGTAGCTTGGAGTCATAAATCCCACACCCTTCAAATAAGGCCAGCAGATCAAAGGGCTTTTATTTTTTGAACAAAGAACCTAACACAGGGATAAGCATTATAAGCATAACTTCCACGCCCTTTTTTTAACGCTTTTTTGTTATATTGGATCTTGCAATGTCCCCCTCGCTATTAAGTCAAACACACCCTTCTACAAGACTTCCCTCTTTTGCCAATGATATCATTACCATTAATTTATTTTTTCCTAAAAGGTTTGATGAGGATAGATAATGGAATATTTGAACATATTTGGTTTCAGTTAAATTAGAAAACTTTTAGTAAAATTCAGGTCAAAAAGAAGAAGAAGCTTTCCTGATGATTCTAAAAGACACAAGAACAGACTTCTTATCCTTCTGTTCGCATTCCTTTTTCCAGAGAAGTTGACCAAACAGACATTGAAAAGTAAGTCTGATTGGAATTCATGGGCATTAGTTTTCATTATTTCCACTGACAATTTCCCTTGCAGCATCCAGGGAACTTTAAATACCATCAATTTTGTTGGAATGATATCTGAATACATAATGTAAATTTTAACTAGACTTTGTTTTCTACTCCAAAATCTAAAGAATCAAAATAGGTAGTTAAGCTTTATAAAGGGTTCACTCTTTTTGTTCTAGTATGATTTAATAATTTTTATAATTATGCCGAACCTCGAGTTTAGTTATTTAAGGTAAAAATCACTCCCCTCTCTAGGTTTGATTAGATAACATTTAGCCTCATTTTTGTCATGAAAAGAAACTTTTCTCCTTTAACTAATTATTGGCTAATAGTTATTTAACAGTTTTATTAAAAAAGAAGTGAGTATAACCCATTTCACCTACTTGAATTACATATTTAATTAAAATTAAAATATTATTTATTTTACTTAAAAAATTAAGTTTTTAAATTAAAATTTTAAAAAAAGTAAAAAATTCAATCTTTTGATAACATAACTTTACTATTTTTAAATTTTTATTTTATAATATTTTAATTTTATTTAACTTTTTTAAGTTTAATTGACACTCAATCCTTTTTCTAACTTAAATGATACTTAACCATTCTAATTTTAATATTTAAATAAAAATAAAAATATAATAAAATAAAAATTATTTAATAATTAAAAATAATAAAAATAAAGTACTAGAAGCTAGATTTAAAAAAAAATTAAAATTAGAAATTTTTTTAAAAAGTAAGTGAATCAAATAATATTTTAACTTTTAATTAGATTGGTAGCCAATTTGTGTGAAATTTCGTTACTTTCACATCTTTTCTAACAAAACCATTAAGCAACTATTAGTCAACAGTTAGTTAAGATAGAAAATTGTTATTCCATGAAAAGAATGAAACTGAGTGTCATTTAAATAAATCTGAGGAAAATGAGTGTTTTTTTATCCTAATATTTGTGACAAAAATTTATTTAACACAAATTAAGGACAATTAATTTAATTTTTAGTGCAAATGAATTGTTAATAATTTTAATAATATTTTTAAATATTTTAATACCGATACGAATACAAATCAAAAACACGAATTGCTAGCCCTGCATTGCATAAATTCCATTTTCTTTTCGGGTGTAGCTGGACCATTAATTCATGGACCTGCTCAAACAAAGCAATTTTTAAAAAACAGTTGATAAAAAATAGAATTTGATGCTAAATTTCAAATTGCGACATGACTATAATTTGTTACGACTCAAAAGATCAATTGAAAGCTGGCAGAGACATCTTCCTTTGATCGTCATCTCTCTTTTTGATCTGAGTTCTTTCATTTTCTAGATTCTTTCCCTTTTAACTTCCATATCACATATTTTAATTACATCATATATTAGCATTTGTATCAATGAAGTGTTGGAAGGTAACATATATTTGCACTAGTTAATGTTTGATCTTTCCATTTTCCCTTCCCCTTACAAACAGAGACTTGAGAACAATGATTGAGAAACCGGACCAGACGGCTGGTTTGATTAGTTTAACCAAGAACCGATCATCGTTTCGGTTCGGGTGAATGATTAAACCTGCACAATTATTGAACCGGTGCCAACCTGTTCCAACCGTTAAATAACTAGCAAAAACCGGCCAACCAGTGAACTGGTCAGACAGGTTCACATCTATATATATATATATATATATATTGAAAAAATAACCCTATTTTTCTACATACTGTTCTTTTGTATTATTTTTCTTTCGGTGTCAACGAAACCCTAACTACTTGTCGGCTACAAATCACTATTTTTTGACATTTGTTGCTAAGTTGTTGCCTCGGATCAACAAAGACCCGCCACTGCTTCATCGTCATTGGAGGAGTTTTGCACTTCTCTCTCATCAGTTGCCTTCGCTTACTACTTCATCTTGCAATTTCCTTGTTTTACAATGGTATAACTATTAAATCTTTTGAGATTTTATAAATTATTTTAAGAGCTTTTCAATGCCCAGTCTAGTCGCTCTATTTGACTACAATCGTAGTTTACAGGTCTGAGAGTGTCTAGTCCTTCTGTTTAATTGCAACAGCAGTTTACAGGTCTGAGAACAAGACAACGGGATGTAATTTGGAAACCACGTGTCTGGTTTATATATAAAAACTTATATTTTATTATTTATTCAACAGTTACTGGGTTGCTTTCCTGAGCTGGAAACCCACAAATTAATTACTGATGGCTTTGTTAGTAAAAGTTGAATAGCAATGAATCTTGTTTTTGACTTTTACTGCAAAATTAAAATTTTTGAATGTGGGTTAGTGGTCTTCTTTTGAGACATTGAATGTGATGATAATATTAAAAAATTGAGAGAGTTGAATTAATTACAAAATTAAAATTTTTGGACGAGGTTTAGTGGGTCTTGTTTTGAGACATTGAATGTGATAATACTATTAAAAGATTGTGAGAGTCGAATTAGTGGGTGTGATAATAATATGAATAAAATGAGAGATGTGAATAAGTGGGTTCAATAAAAGTCTTTTTTTTTTTAACTAAGTAATGCTACAGCCTACAGCACACGAAATTAATTGTTAGATTGTTATTTTTTTCATTTTACAAAGTTTTTTAAATTGTATATATTATTATGATTCACAACTTTATAATTATTATGAGTTAGAAATATTTGATATTTTTTTATTCTTAAATTATGAATATTAATTATTAGAAATTTTAAAATATATATATATATATATATATAGGATAAGCTATTATTCTCTAATTTCACACTTTTAACTTTAAGTTAGCTGTAGCTTGGAAAATCTTAAAATATATATTTTTAGATGCTTTGAGTATACCTTGAGATCTTAAAAATATTTGTTTGCATAAAAAATTAATTTATAAAATGACATTATTAAATTAATATGGAAGTTGATAGTTTCTCTTATATATGTTGTTTGAATTATTTGTAGGACATGGATGATGCATCTACAGCAATGGAATCACGTTCGGTGGAGCAAACACTAAATAGTCAGAATTCAAATCCGCGACGAAAAACAGACCTTGCTTGGAAGTATTGTTATGAAGCACCATCGAAGAGTGGAAAAGGACAAACTATCATATGTCAATTTTGCAATCAGCCAATTTCCGAAGGGGGGATTAATCGAGTGAAGCAACATCTTGCGGGCATAACTGGTAATGTAAGACCATGTCTTAAAGTCACTTCAGAAGTTCGTTTTCAAATGAAAACAACTTTAGCTGAAATTGCTCAAAAGAAAAAAGAAAATACTGTGACTCCGAATAATATGAATGAATACAATACTGTTGTATCTGCACATGCATTTGAAAGAGATGATATTTGTGAGATTCCAAATCTGGGGGGCAAAAAGGATGATGACACTAATAAGAGGAAGATGACTATTAGTATAGAAAATTACATGAAAGGCAAGTCTGGGATTGATTCATCTCAACCTAGTATACAAGCATGCATGAAAAGCTGAGAAAGATGGCATGAAACAGATATGGCGATTGCTTTATGGTTTTGTGATAGTGGTATTCCATTAAATACTTTAAATTCACCTTATTTCAACCAGCAATTAGTAGGATAGCCACCATGGGTCATGGGTACACATAACCCACTTATTATGCACTGAGATTTCCTTTACTAGTAGCAACCAAAAAACAAGTTCAGTTAATTGTTGATTCTTTTCGTGATAAATGGATTGAGACTGGTTGTACAATTATGAGTGATGATCGGACTGACAATAGCCAAAGATCTTTAATAAATTTTTTGGTATATTGTTCCACTGGTGTTTCATTCATAAAATCTATGGACATTTCGAGTATAGAGGCAAATGCTATGAAGTTATGTAATCTCTTTGCTGAAATTGTTGAAATGGTTTGTGTTAAAAATGTTGTGGATGTGGTTACTGATAATGTGAGTAATTATAAAAATGTTGAAAAATTGCTCTGTGAAAAGTATCCATCAGTATCTTGGTCTCCTTGTGTTGCATATTGCATTAATCTAATCATGAAAGACATATATGAAATGCATCTTGTCAACAATTTGGTCATACTTACTTCAAGGGTTACAGTTTTTGTTTACAATCATAAGTGGCCTTATGCTTGGTCGAGAAAAGGCCGGGTTGGACTGAAATTGTTTGTCTAGGAGATACTCATTTTGGCACAACATTTATAGCATTGAAAAGTCTTTACGATCACAAAGAACATTTGTAAGCAATGGTTACAAGTCAGGAATTTAGAAGGTTTTTGAAATTAGTAAAGCAAGAGAAGTCAAACATATTGTCTTAGATGACAAATTTTGGAATAATTGTTTAATTATTTCAAAGATAAAGGGGCCGATTATGAGATTGATGTGCATTTGTGATTTGGATGAGAAACCTTCGTTGGGTTATGTATACAAGGGTATGTGCAGGTCATTAAAGGAATAAAAGATTTGTTCCATAACAAAGAGAGATATTACAAAGAATACATTGATTTAATCAATACAAGATGGAACAAAATGTTATGCAAGAGTCTTTATGCAGCTACTTTTTGGTTAAATCCTGCTTTCCAATATAATCAAGAAAGTCTTACCCAAAGTTTTGAGGTGATGAAAGGACTTCTTGATGTCATTGAAATTTATCTTCCATGCATGGATAATGTAATGGAGGAAATTAGTATTTTTAGAGAGTGTCAAAAAGGTTTTGGAAGGGCATTGGCTTTAAAGTACTCATCCTGGTAAATGTTATTTTATTAATTAAGTAGTTTCATTATTTGATTAGTTTATAATAATTATTCTTACTTTTATATTTTATATTTTCTAGATGAATGGTAGAGGGTATTTGGTTTTGATTCACCAAATCTACAGAAACTTGCTATTAAGCTTTTGAGCCCGACTTCATCTTCATCTAGTTGTGAGTGTAATTGGGTTGTGTTTGAACACATTCATACAAAAAAGGGAATAGATTGGAGTATAGTAGACTTAATAATTTCGTCTTTGTCCACTATAACTTACATTTAAAACATCGGTATGAAATTTATTTATTTTTATTCCATTGTAACTTGTAGTCTTACTTTAATTTCATCCTTTTTTTAAATTTAACTACTCATCATAGTAAATTCTAATTTTATTTTCTTCATATATTTTGCAGTCTTAATGCAAAGAAAAGGTTATGTGATCCAATTGATTATGAGTACATTGACAAAATAGAGTTTTGGGTAGTAGAAGAGGTGCCAAATGGAGAGCTTGATTATGTTAAATTGGAAGAAATATGCTTGAGGAAGAAATTATTAATGACAACTCCCAAGCTAAGCAAACAAGAGGTTAATATATTTTTAGTTTATTTATTAAGTATATTATATTTATCTTTATTTAAATCTTAACTTTTCTATATAGGTTCTGAAAAGACTCGTCCAGAGGTTGCAACTGTAAGTAATGAGGATGACTTCATGATGCCAAACAATTTTGATGACATTGGCACTAGTTCTAGATCTGTTGATGATAACTTGAATCTCATGAATTTGACTTAATTTGACGATAGTGAATAGAATGATTGAAGAGCTGTAATATTATTTTATTTTTAATATTTTTTTGTTTAAGTTTTGAAATTTTTTTATTATTTTAAATTGCTAATGCTTGTTATTAGTTAGTTCTATTTTGAAACTTAATTAAAGTATCTTAAATTTGATACTTTTAATCAATGTATTGATATTATTTGGGGAGGGGGTAAAGTTTAGGAAAAATATTCTTAAATATTAGGTAAATTTTTGCTTTTTTTTCTTATATTTTTTGAATTTCTTTCCATATTTTTAATATTATTTGTATTATATAAATATATTTTATAATATTAAATATAATTATAACGTCATATCAATTAAATTAGTAATTAAACTGGTTGAACTGATCGAACCAATAACCAGAAAAGTCACTAGTTTAATCACTGGACTGGTTTCACAAACATTGCTTGAGAATTCATTATAATGCAGTTTGCTAGATCTGAGACATCAAACTAGACAGGAAGAAGAACATATCGCTTGAATCTCTTGGGATATTCGATTGAAACAAACTCCAAGACAGAAACCTTATGTACCTCTATCCATTATGAATGACATTCTACCCCAACTCCCTTTGCTCCAAAAAAAACTTCAACACAACCTTCTTTATGGATTTTTTTGATAATAGGTATGAAACATTGCTCTTACACCTCACACGAATAGGTAGGCCCATACTTCTATTGTGTATGTCATATCTTTTCATATGAGTGGCGAAGACAGTTCTATTGCACCACTATAAACATCACCCCTATATGGATATCTGCTCCCTAATTCACTTACAAAATCATGAGTGCTCTCACTTTCACAGATGATTCATCTTCACCAATTGCCCCCGAAAGTGCATTCAAGGCACTAATCCTTGATGGTCACAACTTCATCCCAATTATCATGCCACAAGCCTTCTTGGGAGGAGATGGAGGGGCCGTAATTAACCATCAAGAAGATCAACTTTGCAGATAATTTATTTACTTATTTTTCTAAATTAATATTCCAGATTTGTAAACACAGTAATTTTACTTATTTTTCCTATTATTCTTGATTAGCTGCAAAAGAGTTGTCCCTCTGCAGGAACTCCTCTGACCCGCTTGAAAAACTGCGACCAGTGGCTAGTTTTATAACCCGGTAAAGACACCACTCTCTTGATTGTATCACACCTTCTTTGTTTAGGCGGGCTTCGAGGAGAAGTTCTCTAGACATCCTGGTTGTTACTGTTTTAGGAAGTCAACTTTTGCCAGATAGATGCAGAGACTAAGTACTACTACATGGTGATTAAATGAGATGCCTTCATTGGTAAGCTAGGAAAGATCTCGTACGAGATTAAGCTGGTGATTTTCAATTTACTTTTAGCTTATTATTTTTTAAGGTGGTTTGGCAAGTTTCCCCTGTGATAACGAAACCATTCTCATGAAAGTTTTGGTGAAAACACTTTATGAGAAAAAGAAACTAAAAAAAACTAAACATTGATGTTTGGTGAAAGAAATGTTTTCAAATAAGAATATGTTTTTGAATTTACCTGAATGTTTAATGGCAACAGTTCAAAATATTATAATATTTGAAAATTTTGGCAATCCAATTTTTTAAGTTGTAAAATTTTAAAAAAAAATTATTGTGCTGACAAAGCGGTTTAATGATTTTTGTGGTCTAAAGTTAAACTAAAAATTAAGAACTTTTATCTTTTTAATAAAATTAATATACATTCTTATTTAAAATTTATTTTTTAACTTTTTTTTATGGAAAAATTACTAATTAATTTTTTACTTAATTTTTTTTAGTACTTCTATTTCAATTGGTAGCATAGATAATCTATTTATTCTTTCTTGAGATATTATTGATCTTAAGTAAGATTTTATTAGTTCTAGTTTAAAAAAATGGCCAAAACACCAATTATACAAACAGTTAACATTATTTTATAAATAATATATGTCTTAGGAAATGATAATTATTTTAAAATTAAAAAATTTAAAATTTTAATTATAAGATAAATGAGAGAGAAAAATTAAAAGTTACGGGAAGGTGATTAAATTGTAATTGACTAATTAATATATATATATATAATATTTTATTGTATGAATTTTTAAAATATATTTATAATTATTTAAATTATTATAATAATAATATTATAAGACCTAAAAAGTTTTGGCAATTTAAAGCAATTGCTTTATTTGCACTGGCCTCGAACACATCAGAACTCCAAAACTTTAAATCAAAAATTTCAAGACCGGTGAACCGGACATCTGAAATCAAGCAAAAGTCTTTTACTTCCTTTTAAATCAAACAATTCTTCCGAAATCCCAAGACCCCCTCCTTAAAATTTTGATACTAGAATTTTCAAATGTTGTTCCGCCATAAATGGAGATTATGATTAAGGGAAATGACATACAGATACCGTGCAAAACATATTTTTACTCATATATCCAAAGAGTTCTTAGATCCATCTACAAAGACTGCTACCTAAGAATAAATAAATGAAAAGATAAATTTCATGAAAAAAATTATCGCTGTGAAATTCTGAAGTGCAGAGGCATCGAGAAAGCGAAAACTACCCACGACTACAAATGAAGAAACAGATTTAGACCCTATTTTCCGGAGTTGCATTGCCAGCCTTACTGATTTCAAACTCCATGATCAATCTTTCCACCTCTCACCCTTTTCCATGCTTCCAACAGAAGGCTGCTAAGGATCAATCCTCCAAACACAGCACCATAAGCAATCATCCACTCCTTTGCAGGCTTCAAAACTTTGAATCCTCCCCATATGTTAGCAAAGCTCAGGAGCAGTATAATGTATCCAGTGACATGGTGGAACATATTCCATGTATATCTGTACTTGCTTTCCTTCCTAGGTCGCCAAAACAGAGCAGAGACCTGAACCCAAAGCACAGTTAAGTCGGAATAATCTGTTCTGGTTCATATTACGTTTTCTATTATCTGTTTTCTATTATGTCAATATCCTTTTCATTTTCAAACAAAAATAGTTGAAAGAATTCTGAGGGGAAAAAAATTGCAATGGTTTTCTGATAATTTTCAAGGAAACAGTACCTAAAATAATAAAATAATAAAAACAAAAATAATTCACCAACCAGTTTTGAAGTATGCATGTTGAAGAAGCAATATTAGTGCCTGCAGTAGCCCGAGAGAAAACAGAGTGATCCCAATTCCTAGATGGCAAGACTGCTGAACCCCAGAAGACTTGATGCCCAGAATGATCCCAGTTGCGCCAGCCGCTGTGCCAATCAGATATGCCGATGTTTGAATCGAAACGTGTGGGTAGAACCACAGAGGATCAGCCCTCGGGCCCACCTCCTTCAGATATCTCGCGCACATGAATCCCAATGGCATCATGATTCCCAGTCTACTGTGTTAAAAACTCCATGAATCTATAAATTTTGATTTCAATAGTGAAGTTCATATCAATAGGAAGATCACCGCAACAAATCAAAACATAGTAAAGCCGCCAAAAAGCCTTAGAATGTAGCATAAACAAGGAAAAGCGGTTTTTGTTATAGTTGAAAACATTGGGATTTCCAAGAGTAAGCTTTTTCTTCCCCCTTTATGGGCTCCTTCATTCGACTTCATGAAAGGCAATTTTTTCTTTAATGCAAAGGCAAGCAGAGCTAACAACTTACTGATATTCGGACTTCTTTAAATTAGTCCGGATAGCCAGTTTTTTTTTTTCCCCGAAAAAGTAGAGCATGTTCAAGTTGAAGGGAAAATTTGGATTTTAAGCCAACATAAATTAAATGAAATGCAAAAAGCCAGGGCATTGATTTCGAAAAGGACTTAATGAATGACATACAATCCTCAGTATGGCTTTCGATTTCCCACTATGAGAAGCTACGGCTTGTCCAGACGTAAGATTCAGAGTTCCCATGGACTGAAGGTGACTCCCACAGATTTCATGCAAGCCGAGGCTGTCACCAGAGACAGGCCCGTCTTGACAAACATGGTACAAGGTATAGCTGCTGGTCGGAAGCTCCATCGTCGCAAAAATAATGATCTGGTCATCAACAAAAATGGCCGATAACTCCGTGACAGGGAAACCCAGTGTCCCCTGTTCCATCTTTGCCTGATAGCTATTGATCGGAGATGTGAACACGGCCATTGTTGCGCCGGGCCTTCTGTAGGCTATGAGGGCTTGGGTTCCGATCATGCCCTTAGATGTAGGATTAATTCCCTATCCAACCCAAGAACTTGGAGAGGAGATTTGTGTGGCGGTAAGCGATTTGGAGGGTTCTAGAAGATGGGTCGTGATTCCAGTGGAGGAAGGAGGCCAGCAAGGGAAGATCAGTGCATGAGGCGAAAGTTTTATGACGGGAGAAGACGAAGTTCGAACATGATTGAATAGGGGAGGGTGGTGGGAGAGCAAGAAGAGATGGAGCAAGAAAGTACGTAAAGAGGCAGTGAAAAGGCAGGAGTTTCATGGTGAACATTGATAATCGATCTAACGTGAATGGAAGAAGTGAAAGGCTGTGTGCTCTAATAACAACTTCAATTGCGAGTAGGATTTGTAAAAAAAAAAAATTACTTTTTATATATATGTGTGTGTGTTGAGAAATCTTTGAACAAGTAGGAAATAAAGTCCAGTGACTCTATGATTTGTTTTATTTTCTCTTTTTTAGCTTAATAAAAAAATATTAATAAAAATGACTAAATTCAAAAAATAATTCAAAATTTTTTAAATAAATTTTTTCAAATATAAATCTCAACAAATCTAAATTCATTAAATTAGTAAAATTTCAAATTCATAAAATCTAAATTTTATTTTTTTATTTAAATAAAAAAATAAGATTTTAAAATCTAAATTTCACCAAATTCCATCAAATTCAAGTTTGCCGAACATGGTATTAGGAAATAAGGAACCAGCAGGAGGATAGGAGGTTTTAATATCGTTAGTTGATAAAATTTTACCAGAGGAGGATGCTTGTTCTAAGGTAAAACATCAAGTTGTACTAAGTGGAAAATTAATTTAAGAATGTCATATTCTTTTTAAATTAAAACTTTTGCAGAGTCCTTCTTATTAACAAATTTTTTTAAAAGATCGTTGAAAACTATATATAACAAGTTTTATCAAAAAGCCAAATTTTATAAGTTAAGTGTTCCTAAAAAATAAAATTAATAATACAAATTAATATAATCGGGGTGCTACAGGGTCAGCTCACATTAATTACTAAGATAATTATGGGGATTTTTTTTCTAATAAATCACTTAGGGCATTTAGTTTATTAATTTAAAGTTTTTCCCCATGTCAAATGGAAAAAATTTATTGGCACGATAAAAATTTATAAAGGAATTGCTTTAAACCATCTTGGGATAGCAATTTCCAAACATCCAGTAATATCCTCGTGAATAGTTTTGTGCACCACAAACAGTGCAGCTCTATTAAAATTGCTAAGACCAAATTATTCAAAAAATATTATTTAAAAAAGTTGAGTTTAGATAAATTTATTGCTATTAAGGCCCATTTGGATGGGTGTTTCTTTTTTACAAAAAAAAAGTGGTTTTTTTTAAAAAAAATGCTTCTAATCTAAAAAAGACCTAAACTAGCTGCAAATTTCTTTGATCAGAAATTGATCAAATTTTGTCATGGTATGGAAAGAGGTCATTGTAATTGACTAAATTTCACCATAGTCAAAGGTTTAATTCCTTGATTGTGACAAGGTGTTTTCAATTTAGGGCCTCTGGAGATCGACGAAGGAGCGAGCGCCCTCCTTGGAGAAGCTTTCCATGATAGAGTTGTCATGGGGGGATCAACGAAGATGTTCTCTTTTAAGCTGGAAAGAATAAATTAAATTATCTGAGAAGGACAATCAAATAAATTTATTGTTATTAACGTCCATTTGGATGATTTTTTTTTTAACAAAAAAAGTGCTTTCTATTAAAAGAGTACTTTTGACATAAAAAAAAACCTACACCAACAACCTCTTCCTTCGACCAGAAATAGACCAAATTTTGTTAGGAAATAGACAGCCATTGGCAACCAGATTTCATTGTAGTCAAAACTTTAGCTTCCTCAAGTGTGACAAGGTGTTTTTAACTCGGGGCTTCCATAGATCAACGAAGAAGAGAGGGCCCTCCTTGGAGAAGCTTTCCACGATAGAGTCATAATGGGAGGGATCAATGAAACTATATTGTTTTGAGCTGGACAAGACAAAATTATTAGTCTGAGTTGAAAGGGACAAAGTTTCTAGCTTGGGGCCTCCAGAGCCCGACTAAATTTTGTCGAGTTGTCATTGTTGGAGCTTTCAAAAGGGACGGATTATAAGTCTGAGTTGTTGTCAACTAGATTTCATCACAATCAAAGTCTTTTTCTTTCCTGACTGAAACCCAAACCTTTTTCCCTGACATTTTCATTCAAACAATATGAAAATATAAAACAATTTCTACTTAACTCATTTGGCGAAGGTTAGTTTCTATTACCATATTAAGATTTTTTTTAGCTCGTTTACTTACCCATTAATAAAATTGATAATACTAAAGAGTTTTGATGAACTTATAGCATTATAATATTACTATCAAACATGATGTCATGTTACTGTTTCACTCTAACCAACATACTAAAAATGGACTTCTTTTCTTAACACACAGGCAGTACGTACAATTACGCAAAGCGGAGAGTCGATTCAATTGACAAGGAGACCTTCACCTACTGCTATAGCGTAATTGAGGGTGACGCTCTTGGGGATGCCATCGAGTCAATTTCCTACGAGGTCAAAATTTGTGCCTCTTCCGATGGAGGCTCAGTTTGCAAAAACAGCAGCATGTAACCAAGGGTGATGCCAAGACCACCGAGGAGCAAATCAAGGGCGGCAAAGAAAAGGCCTCTGCCATGTTCAAGGCCATTGAGTCCTACCTCTTGTCCAAACTTGATGCTTGCTAAAAAGAAAATTCTTCTCGCAAGTTTGTCCCTTACAGTTATGTGGCTTTCCATGTTTCTCTTCCATTGGTTAAATTTCCTTCGGCTTAATAATAAATATGCTTTAGTTTCGATCACCCTGTTGGTTGTCTTGTTGGATTTGACCAAGCATGTAAGCTATACTACTCAGAGATTTTGTAATAAATATTTTGTTTTCCGAACTATGGACATTATTATCGATCCTACGGCCATTTTCCATTTGTTTTCAAGTTTTTACCTCAGTTCCCGATCAATTCATCTTGGGTGCACGGCTAGCCAGCGACTGCTAAGGATAGAACTAGTGTGTGAACCGCAGAACCAAGATTTATGGAGTCAGCAAATGTAATGACCCAGTTTTTCAAATTAATTAGGGTGGGGACCTTACTGCAAGGATCAAAACTTTGAGAGGCCTAATTAGAAATTTGTTAGGGACCTAGTAGATAGGAAATGAGGTTTGGAGGACCAGATTGCAATTTGATAGAAATTTCTAAAAAGAATAGTACCCGGTTACTGTATCTTCCTTACCATGATGATGAGGAGTTGGTAGGCCGATTGAATCGAGCATTTATGCTCGTCTTTGTCTGACGAACAGAAGCCCTCAAGCTATTTGGCGTTTTGGAGAGAGACTGGAGAGGATTTTGAGGTTCTTGGCCGAACTGGGTTTATGAATGGCCGGATCGGTTTTCTCGAATTCTGAGGCATTTGGATCGATCCAGTCCGATTAGGTGCTTCGTTGAGGGTCACCGGGGTGGAATCCGTGGTTTCGGGAGGTCGTTTGGTCCAGGTAAGCATCCAGGTCCGAGTATTTTGAGGTTGGGTGTATCGGGTCGCGTTGCAAACCCGGTTTGTGAGTCGGGTTGGGGGGCGGGTGAAGAAGACAGACCCGGTTGCATCCGGGTCCGTGCTGAGCTGGCTCGGCTGAGTCGACTCGGCTCACCGGGTCGACTCGGCCAGCTTGTGTGGGTTGGGCCTGGGCCAATTGGACCCAGGCCAGGCAGTTTGGTGGATTGGGCCACAGGCCCACAGGCTTGGCCAACGGGCCAAGAAAGAAAAATAAATAAATAAATAAAAAATATGTTAGGCTCGGGCCGGGAGGAGGCCCGAGCAAGGTGGGCGGCCCAGTTGAGTGGGCTGGGCCCAAAGCTGGCCCAGACGAGTCTGAGCCGTGGCTGAGCTGAGCCAAGCCGAGCTGCTAGGCTGGCGGCTCAAGCCAAAAAAAAAAAAAAAAAAAGAGGGAAAGGGTTTGACTGAACCGGCCAAGGGCTTTGACTAGCCGGTTCAGTGGCCATTTTGGCTTGGAATTGGGAGGTTGGACCGGTTCTGGGTTCGGGGGGATGAGGGCTATCAGACCAAGTGGGTTCGGAAAATTTTGGGTGCCGGTTCGAGGTGAACCGGCCGGTTTAGTATATTATCTTTCAGGTGACCGGTTCATTAGTTTTGAGGGCGGTTCTTGGGGAATTTAGACCGGTTCCTGGTCCAATATGAAGAAACCTAGCTAACCATGAAGTTTGGTGATTTTTGGGTGATCGGTTCAAGGTGAACCGGTCTCGATTTACGTGCCGATGCTTAGGGTTAGGGTTTTGGCCCTGTTCAGAGCTGGTTTGAGCCATTTTTGGCGGTTCATAGTGGTTCCTAGGGTTTTTGGGCCTTCTGAATCCGATTTTGAGGGTTTCGTGGTCATTCGAGTTGAGTCAGAGGTAGTTTTGAACCAGGTCAAGTCAGTTCGAGGGTTTTGGAGACCGGTTCGTTGCGGTTCGAGTTTTGTGGAGGCTAGTTCTGTAGTATTGAGGGTGGTTAAGTAGATTTGTTCAGTATTAGTGAGTTGCGTACATTCGGGTGATTGGTCGTGTTGCCTCGAGATGCGTGCCAGAGGCTAGTTTGGGATTTGAGTTCGATTTGAGGCTACGAGCCTGTTTCTCATGCCGGTTTCGGCGTTGGTGATGATTTTGTATGATTTTGATTGCAGATTCGCAAGCAAGGGCACACCCGGACCACTAAGTCGGGTTAGGTGACTCGGGACTCTCGTTTTGGCTTAGCGTCTGTACTGTGAGTGATGATACCCTCACTATGCTTGTGTTTTCATGCTGTGATTTTCTGACATGATGATTATGTGATTTGAAAACTGTACTTTGATTATGCGTTATACCCGGGATATGTGTTATGTGTTTTGTGAACTGTCAGTGAGCTATGTTAGTATGCGATACTTGTTTTGAGATGTGAACTGTATATGTTATGTATACCTGCTTTTGACTACATGTGAGGATGGTATCATCTGATGTGAGGCGGTAGAGGCTGCAGGCGGCAGAGGACGCGATGTGATGTGTGATGTGAGGCGGCAGAGGCCGCGGGCGGCGGAGGCCGCGGATATGATATGCACTAGTGCGATTCCTCCGATCGTGAGAAGACGAGACAGGGATCTCGTGATGTGATGTGCACGGGATGGCAGACTCAGCCGACGGACGGTGGACCGTAGCGTACGGGGAGTACCTTGGCCCGGCGATGAGATGAGTTGTGTGGCTAAGGGCTCAGCCGGCGGACGGTGTGCTACCGTAGCGTGCGGGGAGTATTCTGGCCCAGTGACGTGATGTGTACGGGATGGCAGGCTCAGCTAACGGACGGTGGACCGTAGCGTACGGGGAGTACCTTAGCCCGGCGATGAGATGAGTTGTGTGGCTAAGGGCTCAGCCGGCGGACAGTGTGCTACCGTAGCGTGCGGGAGTATTCTGGCCCAGTGACGTGATGTGTACGGGATGGCAGGCTCAGCTGACAAATGGTGGACCGTAGCGTACGGGGAGTACCTTGGCCCGGCGATGAGATGAGTTGTGTGGCTAGGGGCTCATCCGGCGGATGGTGTTTACCGTAGCGTGTGGGGAGTACACTAGCCCTGTGATTGATGCGATGTAATGATTGATTACCTTGATACCTCACATATATGTTTTGATTACTACTCACTGTGTATATATGTGTATGTATGATTTTGTACTTGTGGCGTGATACATATCCCAACATGTATAGATTAGGTATATCCGTACTCACTAAGTTTTGCGACTCATAGTTTTAAACATTTCAGATTCATTTGACTGTACTCGCCTCGGTTAGCGTGCCAGTGTGGGAGATAGCGACTGCAGAATTGATTGATGTACATGCACTTTTCTTTTATATCTATTCTTTATTGTATTCTAGAGTAGCTTTCTTGTACTCTCAGATAAGATCTCGGGTGATTTTTGGATGTTATATTATTGCACTTTGTGTATGTTTTATATCTTTAAAGTACGACTGGTTTTGTTGAGGCTTACTGGGGTTGGTGGATCCTAGTGCCAGTCACGGGCCCGGGGTTCGGGGCGTGACAGCAAACCTAGCCTAACGTGATGGTAACGAGTCACAAGTTCTGAAGCCAAACATTGTGACTTCTTAGGCAGGCACTGGCAGGCCTAAGCCCAAACTAAAAGAGGTTTTCTTCTCTTCTATCTTCTCACACTGACTACTTGGGCATTTGGTTTCGGATGAGTCACATTGCTCAAACATTGAGTTAAGGTAAAACCAGAAACAGAGTATAAGCCCTGGTCCTCCAACTTGCTCATTATGATCTAATCCTACTATTAAGAAATTTCAAAAACCAGAAAACAGATAATACTTAACAAAATATTGATTAATTGTCTAGGGCCGTTAGACCTACTTTTGTCTGTTTAATGACTCTAGTTAAGATTGGAACTTCACTTTTTGAGTTACCCAAATTTCAGAACACTGACATAAGAGTAATAGTACAAAATTGGCTCTTACACCTCTCTGAGTTTCTGATGAAGTTGTGCAGATTGGCTTGTTGGTCCTCAAAAGAGATGCATTTGGAACAAATCTTGTCCATGAATAATCTAATAAAAAAATTAAAGTTGATGAATATAATGACTCAATCGAAATAGCTACTCAAATTGGCATTAGAATTTAGCCAAATTTTTTTTTTAAAAATTACTTTTCTATTCCAAATGTAGGCATCAAGACTAGATAGGGATTAGAAGGTAAGCATTAAACCTCTACTACCACGTTGATGGAAACAGATAACTAACCAAAATTTGTTGGGTAGGCCAAATTAGTTTTAATTCCTCAGAATCACTTGACCTGGATAGATTTAGGATCTTGTGGGTGAGAAGGGAAGTTGTGGAGGCCCAGCTACCCCAATAAAACCATGACGGGCAACCAATTTTTTGACCATTTAAGAGGTCAGTTGCATTTCATTTATTTGGGTGGAAAAATTAGAAAATTACCCTGTATATTCATGCAGCCCAAAATCATATATTTGCACCTTTTTTTCTTTTTTGGGAATGCGTAACAACTAGAGGTAAAAAATAAATAAAATAAAATAAATGAACTTGAAACCATCATCCTATTAGTAGGGTTCTGCACCACCCAAGTTAGTCCTTTGAAAGTATTGATGCACCTATGTCTGTTTGCTTTAGAATCAAGAAATTATATACAGCTAGATTGCTTTCGGTGCTTTGCATGGACAACTTTCAAATTTTTCTCTGAAATTAAAAAAAAAAATTAATTGAATCATTTTCACAATTTAAAATTTTAAAATTGGATCACAAAAATTATAATAATTGAAATAATCTTATATTTAGACAAAAAAATATAAGTGACAATTATCAAAATTAATAAATGATTACTTCATAAGTTGACAAATATCAAAAAAAAATTACCAACTTTATATATATACATACATATATATAAGAGTTGTTTAGCCCTTGTAGATTTGCTAATATCTTGTTTCCCTTTTAACCTCTTCTTTTTCACTTTTTCTTTTACTGTGGAAGTGTGGATTTGATATATATTTTGAATTCTTCTTTATTTTTTTTCTTTCTTTTTGCAATAAAGGGTGTTGGATGCATTAGTACTACCAAGATGTTAAATTTGTTGGTTGAGGCAGTATGGCGTTCCAACAGCCTTAATAAAAGACCTGGTACAATAGCTAGTTGAAAACAAAAAAATAGTCACCGCTATCAAAATTATTGCCATATCGTCCTATTAAGATAAAATACCTGCCTCTTTTCCTAATATCTTTTTTTTTTATGTTTCAACTTCTTGAAATTCATTCTCAAATCAGCTATAAAATTCCTCGACCAAGTGTTTTTTCTCATGTCTGGACTCTTACTAGAGGATAAGTACACCTGCCAAAAATTTTTTCTGCAGATTCTACCTTTGAAGTTGTTGCTGAAAACATATGCAATTCTGTTTTCCCTTGGTTTACTGGTCATCTTAAGGAAAATTTTCCTATCTCGCAAAGATGACAGTTTTCACCTTAAGGTGTGTATCCCATCTTGATCTGAACTTGACGACTACCATTAAATTTTAGCATTGAAGAAGGCACGCACCTACAAAAATTGAAAACAGAACACACTACTCTACCAATTTATATATACCATCTTCTTCTGTACCTTTGTTGCTCATCCCAAGTCTCCCCCAGGTCACTTAGTCCTTCTAGTCATTCTTAAGACTACAAGGAGATCATCATGGGTGTCCTCACGATCACCGAAGACATCTCAAGCCCGGTTCCGGCTTCCAAGCTGTTCAAGGCCTTGATCCTTGATGGTGACAAACTCATGCCCAAGATTGTCCCTCAGGCCATTAAAAGCATCGAAATCATCCAAGGAGATGGAGGCCCTGGAACCATCAAGCAACTGAACTTAGCAGAAGGCTAGCCACGATGACTCAAAATTTAAGTTGGTATTGGTGACTTTCGGGGCTTACATACGTGGCTTTTAATGTCAATATTATAGAACTTTCGAGTTTGACTTCTAATAATTCACACTTAAAAGCCAGATATGTGAGCCCCAAAGATAGGCTAAACATTAACTTCGGATTTTTTTTTCTTTTTTTTTTTTTTTTATTTTGTCCTCAATGCAGGAAGTCAATTCAAGTCTGTGAAGCACAGGGTTGATCTGCTGGACAAGGAGAAAATGACATATGCTTACACAATGATCGAGGGTGATGCCTTGATGGGCATTCTAGAATCCATCTCCTACGAGGTAAAGCTCGAGCCATCCCCGACTGGAGGATGCATTGGCAAGAACATTAGCAAGTATAACACGAAACCAGGCATCGAGATAAAAGAGGAAGATGTCAAGGCTGGCAAGGAAAAGGCTGCGGCCCTCTTCAAGGCCGTGGAAGCCTACCTCTTGGCAAATCCTGACGCCTATGCTTGAATACGATCTCCCCATTGTTGTTGAAATAAGCTTTGCATTTTTCTTCCACTTTGTGTTTCTACTGCGGCTTGCGTTTATTATTTCTGGCCAAGGACACCAATTGAGCTAGAAAATAAATAATTTGGGTCGGATAGGGTCGCCAAGTGCTAGTACTGTTTGATGGAAGCAATCAATCAATCTCCTTCCTGTAAGAAGCTTCAATTAGCTGAAAATAAGTGAGGCTTCATGCTTTTGATCCAGAAAGCTTTAGGAGATGTTCAAGTGTCAAAAAGTGTTCAGCCTTTTCTGGTTGACTTTTCACTGTCCTGAAAGAATAGCTTCCGATTTTCAGTTGGCTTTTTCATCTAAAAGTAAATCACTGTGGCTCTGTTAATGGAAAAACTGACAGAAAAAAAAGGTAAAGCTTTTTTTTTTTTTTTTTTTTTGATAGCTGATGTTGGGAAGTAGAAGAGTAAAATGGAATGCTTAGTGCGAACCAAATATATTGAATAATGATCTAGTGGCAGATGAATCTAGTGGCAGATCTACCTCAACTTCTCACCAGATTTGATTGAGTGAAATTTTGCTGCATTAAGAAAATATTTTAAAAATAAATGACAATATTGAGAGTGAGAGGGAGAGGGAGAGGGAGGGAGGGGGAAAGAGAGAGAGAACTGAGACTCTGCCTTAGATGCGCTTTTTTCTGATGTGAGACAACACGAATCACTGAATAAAGATGCAAAGCTTCGAGCAGAGAAAGTTGCTATTTTGTTCAGCAATGCTACAATCATGAAATTGCATACTTCTGATGGAATCATTAAATATGCAAATATGTAATGTATAAACGAAGCTCCGAAATAGTAAGAACCACCGAAGAAAATGCTCAATACAACTTGAAAAAGAATCTAAGAACTTGTTTGATGGAAGGAAAAGAAAGAGAAGAAGAAGAGGAGGAGAAGGACTACTATTTAATTTATGATTTTAAAAAGCAGAAAATAAGAAAAAAGAATGAAAACAAGAAAAAAGGAGGATAATAAGGAACTCAAAAAATTGAGCTTATTTTTTAGGTGATCTTGAGTATTTTATGTATAAGTAATACCTTTTTAAAAATATTACAGTTCTATTCACCGATAAATAGTAAGGAATAATCCAAAATAAATCAAAAAATTTCATAACAGTAATAGGTTGAGCCGGATAAAAAAGTCAAGAAAAATATTGGTCAGTCTGAAATAATTACAACTTTGCAAGTTTGGAACAAAAGACTACAAAACTCTACCAATAATGGTAAACATAAATACTAATATTACTTGCCAATTCAATAATAAAAATAGTAAAGTAGTTTTTTCCAGGCATGTCAACTAATCACAATCTCTCTCTCGTTGTCAACCTGTGCAGGATATCAGAAAGAAAACTTGAGAAATAATTCCAAGGTGGTAGATTATCTAGTAGTCAAAGCCTTCGAAACATCCAAGAATTTTTAGTCTGGTTACAATAGCAGCATATTCTTCTTCTGAAAAGGATATTGGAATATCCTCTATAGAACAGAAAAAAAATAATCATTTCAATGGTATTTTCAGCAAGATGATGACATGGTAGACTCTTATTTCATCATATCATTAAGGGCAAGCACTTGATAAGTCCAAAGAGCAACTTTCAGAATTTTTAAGAGAAGTCCATAAGAAGCAAAAAGCCATCAACTCATATTTAAATACATAATACAAAATATGATAAACACATTAGTGCTATTGAAATCATATACTTGTTCTATTCATTGTCCCAAGTAGAAATTTGATATTTTCACCATTCCTACCCTCTTGACTAACATAAAATCACAGTAATTAGAATATATTGCCTTAGTTTTATCTGATTAGATTAATTTAATGGAACAAACTACAAAACAGACTTCTTCACCACCTCAAACCAGCATAAATACCATCCCTTGTAGCACCTCTTTTCCTTGAGGAAATCTCTCCTGTCACAAAACTGATCCACTTAACCTCTTCATTTCACAACTCTACCAGATGGGTCCTCTTAGTTTCACTGATAAGACTTCTTCCCCAATCCCACTAGCAAGGGCATTCAAGGCACTAATCCTTGAAGGTGACAACTTGATCCCAAAAATTATGCCACAAGCCTTCAAGAGCATTGACGTCATTGAAGGAGATGGAGGGGCTGGAACCATCAAGAAGATCAACTTTGCTGAAGGTTAAATTGATACCATTTTAACACCATAATTTTACTTATGCCTATTAGTTCCAATAAGTTGAAAATGAGTGTTTTACAAGGCAGGAACCCCACTTACCTACCTAAAGCACCGCGTTGATGATACTGATGAAGAGACATACAGTACTGCCACACTATGATTGAAGGTGATGCCCTGACTGGTAACCTAGAGAAGATCTCTTACAAAATTCAGCTCATGGCCTCCCCATAGTGGTTCCATTGCCAAGACCACAAGCAAGTATTATCCCTGGAAGGTGTTGTTATAAGTGAAGATGAGATAAAGACAGGGCAGGAAAGGTCAGGGGCAATGTTCAAGGTTCTTCAAGACTACCTCATCCAAAACCCTGATGCCTATGCTTAAATGTCTCTCATCTCTATTGAACTTGCCTTCCTTTACCTCTCAAGCAAATTTATGTCAGTGTGTTCCTTGCCTATTTCTTGCTAGTGATTCCTTTGTTGAAAATAAAATCTTATCCACCTGGCCAGCGGTTGGTTCATGCATCTTCTGAATGTCTCTTGCCTTATAACCAAATAAAAGAAATCAGAAAATAAAGGGAAATTTGATTGCTGCTCTTGCAGAGATAAAACCATAACCAAAACCTTGCAAGTCAAGGTTGAACCCATGTTCCTCACTTCCCCTTGAGGATGGAGTTGAATATTAATGTTTGTCCTTGAGAAGACTACAGCGACTGATTTTGCTGAAACTTCTGTAGCTTGGCTTTATAAATCCCATACCGTTCAAGTAAGGCCAACAGATCAAAGGGCTTTTATTTTCTGAACAAAGAACCTGACACGGGACAAAACATAATTTCCATGCCCTTTTTTAACACTTTTTTGTTTTATTGGATCTTTCAATGTCTCCCCCGCTATTAAATCAAACAAACCATTCTACCAGACTTCCCTCTCATACCAATGATATAATTTCCATTAATTTATTTTTACCCAAAAGGTTTGATGAGGATAGATAATGGAATACTTGAACATATTTGGTTTCAGTTGAATCAGAAAAGTTTTAGAAAGATTCAGGTCAACAAGCAGTAGAAAGCTTTCCTGAAGATTCTAAAAGAAACAAGAACAAACTTCTTATCCTAATGTTCCCATTCCTTTTTCCAGGGAAGCTGAGCAAATTGACATTGAACGGTAAGTTTGATTGGAATTCATGGGCATTAGTTTTCATTATTTCCTCCAACAGCTGCCTTTGCAGCATCCAAGGAGTTTTAGATACCATCAAGTTTGTTGGAATGATATCTGAATACCTAATATAAATTTTAACTGGACTTTCTCAGTTCCAAAACAGGGCCCTTCAAAGAATCAAAACAGGTAGTTAGGTTTTATAAAGGGTTCACTCTTTATGTTCTAGTAAGATTTAATAATTTTTTATAATTATGCCCCACCTCAATTTTAGTTATTTTGAGGCTAGTGATAATGTTAAGCTACATTTCAAGTTAGCAAATTTCTACTTCACTTCATTTGACTATTTCATAAAAAGAAGTTCAGTGAAATCAGAGAGCGAGCATCCCTGATTTTGAAAATAACATTGAATTGATCTGGGTTTGATTCCCCGGATAAAACCAAAGGCTTTTAGCTGTATGGCGTAGCAAAACTCTGATTTACAAAGTATTTAATTTCAAATTTAAGTCTCTAAAGAAATAATGCACATCCGCAGGGAAGGAGAGAAGGAACAGAATAAAGGTGTACCAGTATTGGCACCCATATACTAATGATCTTTCCTTACAATAAGATACTGGTCTACATGATTTATAGTTTTCCTTTTTTTTTTTCCTTCTTCTTCCTTTAAAAATAAATGAGAATGGGGAGTGGGGTTGGGGTGCAGAGATCATAAGGTTTTAACTTTGAACACTCACATCTACTCCCATAAATGCTATGCCATACAAATGCACCAACTGCCTCAATGCCCGTCAAAATTCTATCAACTAACATCTACTTCTGTTTAAACTTCTTTATATTCCAAATTTCATGCCTAAATATGCAATCGCATTACATATTGACAGATACAATTTTCTAAGTCAACGGATCAAAGGCCTCAGCTTTGTAGGAAAATTTAACCGTTGAAACATAAAACATAACAATAACCATTGTGACAAATACTATTATAATATTTATGATAAAAATTTATTTAACACGAATTCAAGTCAATTAATTTAATTTTACTGCAACTGAGTTGTTAATAATTTTAATAATATTTTTAAATATTTTAATACCGATATGAATACAAAACAGAAACACGAATTGCTACCCCTGCATTACATAAAATTCCATTTTCTTTTCAGGTGCGGCTGGAACTTTCATGGACCTGCTCAAATAACGCATTTTTCTAAGGCTGTCGTGTAAAAAATAGAATTTGATGCTGAACTCCAGACTATGACATGACTGTAATTCATTATGACTCAAAAAATCAGCTAAGGGCTAGCAGAGACATCTTCCTCTGGTAGTCATCACTCTTTTTTATCTGAATCCTTTTATTTTCTATATTCTTTCCCTTCTAATTTCCGTATCACATAGTTTAATTACCTCATTTATTAGCATTTGTATCACTGAAGTGTTGGAAGGTAACATATATTTGCACTCCAGTTAATGTTTAATCTTTTCATTTTCCGTTCCTCCTACGAACAGAGACTTGAGAAGTCATGGTAATGCAGTCTGCTAGATCTAAGACATACAAACTAGACAAGAAGAAGAACATATCACCTTAATCTCTTGGTTGATTCGAATGAAATAAACTCCAAGACAGAGACATTAAGTACCTCTATCCATTATAAATGCCATTCCCAACTCCCTTTGCTTAAAAGCAACTTCAACACAATCCCATTTGCAAATTTTTTTGATACTGGGTATGAAACATTGCTCTCACACGATTAGGTAGGGCCCATACTTTTATTGTATATATCACATGTTTTGGTATGAGTGGTAAGGAGAGTTCTCTTGCACTCAGTATAAACATCACCCCTGTTTAGGTATCTACTCCCTAATTCACTCACAAATTCACCAGTGTTCTCACTTTCACAAATGATTCATCTTCCCAATTGCCGCCGAAAGTGCATTCAAGGCACTAATCCTTGATGGTCACAACTTGATCCAATTATCATGCCTCAAGCCTTCAAGAGCTTTTAAGTCTTAGAAGGAGATGGAGGGACCGTAACCATCAAGAAGATCAACTTTGCCAATAATTAATTTACTTATGTTTTTTAAATTTAAATTGATATTCCATACTTGTAAACACAGCAATTTTACTTATTTTGCCTATTATTCTTAATTATCTGAAAAGAGTTGTCCCTTTGCAGGAACTCCTCTGACCCACTTGAAAAACTAAGTCAATGAGATAGATGTAGAGATTTACAAGTAGTGCTACATGGTGATTAAACGAGATGCCTTGGTTGGGAAGCTAGGGGAAGATCTGTACAAAGTGTTTCAATTTACTTTTGCTTATTATTTTTAAAGGTGGTTTGCATGTTTCCCTTTGATAACGAAACCATTCTCGCAAAAGTTTTGGCGAAAGCACTTTTATTGGGGGGTGGATGTTCGGTGAAGAAATGTTTTCAATTAAAAATGTGTTTTGTATTTACTTGAATGTTTAATGTGTACGCCCCGACCCAGGCACGTGACCGGCACTAGGGCCACTTAGCCCTAGTAAGCCTCGAAAAAACCAATATAACAACTCAATACCATATAAATCACGGTGCGCTGTCCTCATACACGAATACCAAGATCTGTCTGAGATTTCAAAAAGAGCTACTCTTAAAGTACAAGGAATTAATACAAAAGGGAATATGCCCAACATCGATAAAGCTTCCACTGCCTAACTCCGACTCTGGCGCGGTAACGAGACAAGAACAAGCAAGTCAGAGATCTGGAAAAATTTAAAACTGTAAGTCGCGAGACTTAGTGAGTAACAGACGATACCTAGACTATACAAGCTACAGTATGCAACGTGGCTCAAACAAATATCACATATACACAAGTAATCCCCGTTGAGCAGTAATATGTAAATAAATATGCAACGTATCACTGTAACCAACCCATCACATCCCATCCACTGGGCCAGAATACTCCCCGCACGCTACGGCAGCACACCGCATGCCGGGCGAGTCCTCGGTATCCCAAAAGTCTTCCCAAACGGAAACCAAAGCACTCCCCGTACACTACGGCCCACCGTCCGTCGGCTGAGCCTGCCACCCCAGACATGTCATCAATGTGCAATCATACTCGCAGCCCCTGCTGCCTCAACAAGACTCAGGCCGACTCACCACTGGACACTAGGGTCACCGTACGTCCAGCCGAGCTCCTTTGTCCAAACCACATCATGTGGTACCATCCTCACGCATCGGTCACAAACAGGTATACATAGGCACATACGATTCATATTCCAAATCTCATAACAACATATCAATACAGCTCACTGATAGTACACAAGGACACATACATAGTCCAGATACAATTAAGAAGTCACATAATCAACATGCCAATAAAACAGTATGGAAACACAAGCATAGAAAAGGTATCGTCATCACAGTACAAAAATCGAGTCAAGAACGAAGTCCTGATCACCCTCAACCGTCTCGCCGATCTGGGTGTACCTCTCAGACGTATCTGAAAAACAAAAACCACAAAGAAATATAACCCACCTCAAACTCGGTACAAGAAACAGCCTCGTAGCCTCAAACGGCTCAAAACAAAATCGGACACTTGGCACGCATCTCGAGATATCGAGACTGGCCACCGAAATCTACGTGACTCTCACACACAAAAACCAATCAAAACCCTCAAATCCAAAAGAAATACTCTCCATAGTCTGCCAACACAGCGAACCAGCCTCTAAAGACCCCCAACCCGGCCTGCTGGCCTAAAAACTACCTCAAGCTCACTCAAACGGGCACGAAACCCTCGAAAATGATTCAGAGGCCCCAAAACCTTAGGAGCCAATATGAACCGTCAAGAACTCAAACCTGATCATTGGCACGCAAAACGA